GCCCTGACCAGTGGCTTTGTCCTGGGCTCCAGTGTATGTTGAGAGCAGCCTCTACTCTGATATGCAGGGGATGGCCTGGTCTCTCCCCCCCCCCCCTTCACAGAGGGGCTTTTGCTTCTGTAGTTGCTGCTAAGGTGTCCCTCTCTTAGCAGCCAGATCTCTTCTCCCAAAGGTAGAATCATGGAAGGGTCCTCCAGGGTCATCTAGTCCAACCCCCTGCACAATGCAGGAAATTCACAAATACCCCCCACAACCCCAGTGACCCCTGTCCCATGCTCAGAAGATGACAAAAAACCTCCAGGGTCATAGGCCAAACTGGCCTGGAGAAAAATGGCTTCCTGGCCCCAGTTTTAAACAAAGAGCCCCTCTTTTAATATCACCCCCCAAACCATTTGTGCACTGCACTGTCTGGCCTAGAAGTGAAACTGGGATGGAGCTGAAACAAACAAAATGGACGCTGGTCAGGAGAGAAGCCTGGGAAACTATTCTGGGTAGGTGACACAGGGTAACTGACTTGCTAGTCGCTCTCCTCCCCATCCCCCAAAAGAGATACTTAATCTCACCAGTGGGTTTCTCAGGAAAGGCACTACCCCCACCTTGACGTGATCATCGCCACCCCTGATCACGTCTCCCCTTTCCCATTCACCCTGATAGATAGGCTGTTCATATAACGTGATAGCCTCTCTCATCCAGTACTCTAGGGTCATCAGAAAGCATTAACAATTTCTGACTACACCAGACACTCATCAAGCACCATTAGCTACACTCAGGCAGACTCTGGGAAATCTGATCAAGGTATTGTGTTAGGGGCACACGGATCAGACCCTCCCACCAGGTCAATTTTTCCTCTAAGTGGACATAGAATTATAGAATCATAGAATGTTAGAGTTGGAAGGGACCTCGCAGGCCATCTAGTCCAACCCCCTGCACTCTGCAGGAGCAGAGACCCAAAGATAGCCCTACAACATACCCGATAGATAGTCCCAAAGCAGACTGTTCCACTGCTCAACCACTTTCACAGTCAGGAAGTGCCTCCTGATATTTAGCCGGTATTGACTCCCTTGTAATTTCCACCCATTCGATCTAGTCTTGCAACCCGCAGCAAGAGAGAATAGATCTGCTCCATCTTCTACATGACAGCCCTTCAAATACTTGAAGACTGCAATCGTGTCCCCTCTAAGCCTTCTCTTTCCCAGGCTAAACATACCCAACTCTTTCAGCCTTTCCTCATAAGACTTGGATTCCAACCTTCTCACCATCCTGGTTGCCCTCCTCTGGACACGCTCGAGCTTGTCAAGCATCCTTTCTAAAGTGCGGTGCCCAAAACTGGACACAGGACTCCAGGTGAGGCCTGACCATAGCAGAACTACGACCTCCCGTGATCTGGACACAATGCTTCTGTGAATGCATCCTAAGACTGCATTCGCTTCCTTCGCAGCCACATCGCACTGCAGGGTCATGTTTAGCTTGTGATCAACCAGGACACCTAGATCCCTCTCACCTGTGCTACTGTCAAGGCAAGTCTCTCCCATTCTATATCTGTGCCTTTGATTTGTTGCTCCACTCCACAGAGAGAGAGAGAGAGTGTGTGTTCTATCAGCACCAAGCATTGCACCCTTTCTCGTGAGTAGGACCTTATTCCTTTTTTTTAAAATTTCATACATATAGAGCACACAGGACAAACAATAACAAACTTACATCAATACAGAATTTGGGAAGGTTCATTGTATCATTTTTTTACATTTATTTATTATATTATTATTTTCACATTTACCTTGCCCACCCCACGGAAGCAGGCGCATGGATAATTGACCTCCTACTGTAATCATAAGAACATAAGAGACGCCAATGTTGGATCAGGCCAAAGGACCATCCAGTCCAACACTCTGTGTCACACAGTGGCCAGAAATACCGGGTGCCATCAGGAGGTCCACCAGTGGGGCCAGGACACTGTTGCCCCCCCCCCAGCACCAAGATGACAGAGCATCACTTGCCCCAGAGCCCCTTTCTATACCTTGTGGCTAATAGCCACTGACGGACCTCTGCTCCATATGCTTATCTAATTCCCTTTTAAAGCCGTCCATGCTTGTAACTGCCACCACTTCCTGTGGCAGTGAATTCCATGTGTTAATCACTCTTTGGTTGAAGAAGTACTTCCTTTTATCCGTTCTAACCCAACCGCTCAGCAATTTCATTGAGTGCCCACGAGTTCTTGTATTGTGAGAAAGGGAGAAAAGTACCACTTTCTCTACCTGCTCTTTCCCATGCATAATCTTATAAACCTCGATCATGTCACCCCTCAGTCATCGTTTCTCCAAGCTAAAGAGCCCTAAGCGCTTTAACCTTTCCTCAGAGGGAAAGTGTTCCAAACCTTTTATCATTCGAGTTGCCCTTTTCTGCACTTTTTCCAAAGCTATAGTATCCTTTTTAAGGTGTGGTGACCAGAACTGCACACAGTATTCCAAATGAGGTTGCACCATTAATTTATAGAGGGGCATTATGATATTGGCTGATCTGTTTTCAATACCCTTCCTAATAATCCCAAGCATAGCATTGGCCTTTTTTATTGCAGTCACACATTGTCTCGACATTTTCAGAGAGTTATCTACTACAGCTCCAAGATCTCTCTCTTGCTCAGTCTCTGCAGTTCAGACCCCATCAATGTGTATTTATATTTAGGCTTTTTGCCTCCAATGTGCATCACTTTGCACTTGGCCACATTGAACACCATTTGCCATTTTGACGCCCACTTGCCCATCCTTGACAGATCCCTTTGGAGTGCCTCACAATCCACCCTAGTTTTCACCACCCTGAACAACGTCGTATCATCTGCAAATGTAGCCACTTCACTGCTTACTCCCAACTCCAAATCATTAATGAACAAGTTATTGTATTTTATATAAGAACAAATATTAAGCAAAAGCATTATTAGGAGCCTCTGTAGAAAGAACTGGGATGCAATTTATTTGTTTATTTACTAAATTTCTACATCGCCCTTTCGCCGAAGCGGCTCAGAGAATGAGAAGAATGGAATGTCATTTAGAAGTTGCAAGGCCGCCGAGAGCGAAGTTTAATGTGATTCATATTTCTTATCAGCTGGCTCTCCATACGCAGGTAAGAAAGGAACCCCGTGTTCTTAAGACCACATAAACAACTGCATCATAACTGAAGGATGATTAGGTAGTCTGTTCTAAATCAACCTCATCAGCCTCCAACCTCAATAAATGGCATAATGAGAAAATCACTTCTTGTCTGCTATCCCAGCGTTTTCTGCAATTTGAGCAACTTCCAGGGTAACCTGAGAACTTTTCCACATCAGAAAATCCTTAAGAAGAGGGCTGGTCTGTAACGTCATCTTTTAGAATTGAAGGACGGCAGGAAGCAGCATCCAAGTCTCTCTTTTGCTGTAGATTAGAACCAACCTCTCCTTTGGGTGAGTGTTCCGGCGCTGCTAGACATAAAGTCTGCTTTTGAGGTTTCTCTGTTTTCTCTTAAAGCTGTAAGAGTTTAAAGGACTTGAATTTAGAGTAGGTTCCTGGTGGGAAGTAGCAGTCTCTCCCACACTCTTGGCAAAAACCTCATTATTCAGGAATGGAAACTGCAGGGGACTAGAGGTCTTCAGGTCTTCTGAGGGCTCCAATACCCTGAACCTGTTTTCCGAAGGAGGAATCCCCTCCCACAGAGCTCCGTCCTTTAGGAAATCATCGATGTGAAGCTGATTTGAGGATTTACTGTAAGATGTTACCGGAAAGACAGAGTTCGAGTCATTTCTGTTTCTTTTCTTGGCCATTTTGGCAGTCGTAAGACAGCACACAATGGTAGAAAGTTGTGGCTGCTAGTCTCTCTGTAACTGGAAACTTTTAAAAAGATTTACAGCTGCAGCTCCAGCATTTGCAAAGTCCTCTTTAAGTCTTAGCTATACACAAAACAAACTGTCTGAACTACAAGGCCACAGGGCTACCCTAATACTAATATTCTAACTCAGGTAGTAACTGTGAGACAAATCAAATCCCAAAGAGAAGAGAAGGGAAGAGACTTCCCAAAGGAGTCTCAGAGTGGCTTATAAACTCCTTTCCCTTCCCTGTGAGGTCGGTGGGGCTGAGAGAGCTCTGACAGAAACAGCTCTTTTTCAAGGTCAGCACTTGTCAGAACTACGGCTTGCCCAAGGCCATCCAGCCAGGTGCAAGTGGAGGAAGAGTGGGGAATCAGACCCGGCTCTCCCAGATCAGAGGCCGCCCACTTAACCAAGACACCAAACTTCACCAAATAAGAAGAGAGACCTTAACGCCTCAGAGCTCGTTATGCACTTTATGTTATGAGAGTTACAAACGGAACACGTTTATTTATACATTTATTGCAGTGCATATTTATTCGTTACCCGACCTCCCTAACTCTGCAGCTCAGGCTGCTACAACTCCGGCTGTCCTTCCCGGCCTGTGGACGGAGCTCCCCTCTTAGACCTCCCTGCGCTCCTTTCTGCCTTCCATTGGCTCCTGCCCCTGTCCTTCATGGCCACATCCGGGGCAGACCGTTCCCTTGGAGCCCACAGCATGCCACCCCCAGACTCTCCCCGCCCTCGGCATGGCACTTGCTGCCTGGGCCCCCAGATACCCCCAGGGCCCAGCAGGGCGGAGTTGTCCACCACCATACTTCCACCTTCTCTGCCGGACCCTGAAGGATCCAGCTGGACAACATAGCCTGGGGGATGTCTCTCTGAGAAAAGGGGGCATATGCCCTCCAGGCCTGGCATCTCCCAGGTACCCGTACCCACTCTGGCTTCCCACAGCCTCTTGGGGCTCTGTCCGCTACCTGCTGCCCCCCCCACCGTCTCCCAGCTTGGCCTCCATCCACTGAAAAGTGTCCTCGGCTCTTCCGTGGCCCGTGCCACTGCCTCCTCCTCCCATGCCGTCATTTGGGCATCTGGGACAACAGCTACCTTTGCGGTAAGGGAAGCAGATAGGCTGATGACATGTCAGCGACTTTGGCGGGAGGAGGTTCGCCTACTTCGTTAGGGTTGCTTTGCCAGGCCACGAGAGCTTCTCTTGAGTGCAGGTATAGTTTGTTTGCTTTTTGAACTGCCCCCCTAAGAGGCAGAAATTTTATTTAAAATTTTTCACATATTATACACAAACAAACACAAAATAGACATACTAACATACACACATACATTCATGGGGGTTATTTTCCATTTTTAACACTGGGCATTCAAAAGGCTTCTCCCCTTTCTGGAATCTTTGAGGCTGTTCAAGACGGCTATTCTGACTGAATGTCTTTTCACACTGTGAGCATTCAAAAGGTTTCTCCCCTGTGTGGGTTCTTTGATGAGACTGAAGATTGCCATTGCGACTGAATCTCTTTCCACAGTCTGAACATTCAAAAGGTTTCTCCCCTGTGTGGGTTCTTAGATGCTTCTGAAGACTGCCACTCCAACTGAAACCCTTTCCACACTCTGAGCATTCAAAAGTTTCCCCCCTGTGTGCCACGTCCGGGGCAGACCATTCCCTTGGAGCCCACAGCATGCCACCCCCAGACTCTCCCCACCCTCGGGATGGCGCTTGCTGCCTGGGTCCTCAGACACCCCCAGGGCCCAGGACGGTGGAGTTGTCCACCCCCGTGCTTCCACCTTCTCTGCTGGACGTGGAGGGATACAGCTGGAGAACATAGCGTGGGGGGTGCCTCTCCAAGGCAAGGGGGCATGTGCCCTCCCACCAGGCCTGGAATCTCCCAGGTTCCCGTACACACTCTGGCTTCCCACAGCCTCTTGGGGCTCTGGCCGCTTCCAGCTCCTCCCCCCCACAGTCTCCCAGCTCAGCCTCCATCCACTGAAAGTGTCCTCAGCTCTGCTGTGGCCCGTGCCACTGCCTGTTCCCCTTGCCCTCATTCGGCCATCGGGGACAACAGCTACATTTGTGGTAAGGGAAGCAGACAGGATGGCGACATGTCAGCAAGCTTGGCATGAAGCGGTTGGCCTTCTTTGTTAGGGTTGAGTTACCATGCCATGGTGACACTGGGGCTGGACACTGAGTATTCAAAAGGTTTTTCTCCTGTGTGGGTTTTTTGATGCTGTTGAAGATGGCTACTCTGACTGAATCTCTTTCCACACTCTAAACATTGAAAAGGTTTCTCCCCTGTGTGGGTTCTCTGATGCTGTTGAAGATTGCTACTCTGACTGAATCTCTTTCCACACTCTGAGCATTCAAAAGGTTTCTTCCCTGTGTGGGTTCTTTGATGACTTTGAAGATGGCCATTCTGACTGAATCTCTTCCCACACTCTGAGCATTCAAAAGGTTTCTCCCCTGTGTGGGTTCTTCGGTGCTTCTGATGACTGCTACTGTCACTGAATCTCTTTCCAGAAACGCAGAATTCAGAAGGTTTCTCTCCTGTGTGGATTCTTTGATGCTCTTGAAGATTGTCAATCCGACTGTATCTCTTTCCACACTCTGAGCATTCAAAAGGTTTCTCCCCTTTGTGGGTTCTTTGATGGTATTGAAGACAGCTATTGTGATTGAATCTCTCCACAGTCTGAGCATTCAAAAGGTTTCTCTCTTCTGTGGGATGTTTGATGCTTCTGAAGACTGCTACTGTGACTGAATCCTTTTCCACAGTCGGAACATTTGAAAGGTTTCTCCCCTGTGTGGGTTCTTTGATGATATTGAAGACTGCTTCTGTGACTGAATCGCTTTCCACACATTGAGCATTCAAAAGGTTTCTCCCCTGTGTGGGTTCTTTGATGATATTGAAGATGGCCACTCGAAATAAATCGCTTTCCACACTCTGAGCATTCAAAAGGTTTCTCTCCTGTGTGGACTCTCTGATGCTGCCGAAGATCGCCACTCTGACTGAATTTCTTTCCACAGTCTGAGCATTCAAAAGGTTTCTCCCCTGTGTGGGTTCTTTGATGCTCTTCAAGACTGCTATTGTGATTGAATCTCTTTCCACAGTCAGAGCATTCAAAAGGTTTCTCCCCTGTGTGGGTTCTTTGGTGCTTTTGAAGACTGCTACTCTGACGAAATCTCCTTCCACACTCTGAGCATTCAAAGGATTTTTCTCCTGTGTGAGTTCTTAGGTGCCGTTGAAGAGTGCCACTCCGACAAAATCTCTTTCCACACTCTGAGCATTCAAAATGTTTCTCCCCTATGTGGGTTCTATAATGCTGCCGAAGATTGCCACTCTGATTGAATCTCTTTCCACACTCTGAGCATTGAAAAGGCTTCTCCCCTGTGTGGGTTCTCTGATGCTGCCGAAGATTGCCAGTACAACTGAACGTCTTTCCACACTCTGAGCAGTCAAAAGGTTTCTCCCCTGTGTGTGTTCTCTGATGCTTCTGAAGAATGCTACTGTAACTGAATGTCTTTCCACACACTGAGCATTCCAAAGGTTCCTCACCTCTATGTGTTCTTTGGTGCACAAGGAGCTGTGATCTATTTCGGAAGTATTTTCCACTTTTAGTGGATTTATTTGCCTTCATTATACTTCTCTTTGCAAAATGTACATTACGCTGTATGCCATCTCTCTTCTCAATCATATTGCTACATTTCTTTCTCTTAGGTCTCACTTGATTCCTGACATTTTCTTTCATGCCTTCATTTTTAACACTATCTGGCAGTTGGTGATGACGTTCTGCATCCTTCTCATTCCTTCGATCATCCTCTGCTGGAATAAAAAGAGAGATCCTGTTAGCATCTGGGAGGGCTGGTAAGGTCCAAAGGCATGTTATGTGACAGCAGGAGAACAGGATTGATGGCCCTTTGGCCTCATCCAGCTTGGCTGATTTTAACCCAGCAGAGCTCTAAAAAGCAGCAGGAGACAGAGCTGCTTGAGGGGCGTTTTTTATTTGCTTTCAGCTGGGGAGATTTAGCCGAGTGTACTGTGTGGGAGGACTGTGTGTGGGAGTGTGTGGGTGAGATTTAAGTTGTTGCAGAGTCCAGGCTGCTTGAGAAATGGTGATCGACTGTAATTGGATTGCCTGGGTGTAAACTGAATACCTGCTGGCCCTGCCCTCTGCTGGGTGAGGCTTCTATTTAAGGGTGCACCTCGCCAGAGGCACAGCTGACCCAGGTGAACTCTGAAAAGCAGCTGGAGACAGAGTTGCCAGAGGGGTGAGTGTTTTTTATTTGCTTTGGGTTAGGCTTTTATTTAAGGGTTCACCTTGCCGGAGGCAGAGCTGACCCAGCTGAGCTCTGCAAAGCAGCTGGAGACAGAGCTGCCAGAGGGGTGAGTGTTTATTTGCTTTCAGCTGAGGACATTTAGCTGAGTGTACTGAGTGGACTGGCTTCTATTGAAGGCTGCACCTTGCAATTTATTTATTTTTATTTATTTATTTATTTACCTTCAACTTCTACCCGGCTCGAACCCCTCCCATGGGTCTCTGAGTGGCTTGCACAGCTTGTATCATCCCTATCTATGGGCACAACGTATTAGGGGCAGGACTACGTAACAGCACCCGGTGGGATTTAGTTGACGTGTCTCCAGCTCATCTCGTCTCGGCTTCGGGTCGGCATCTTCCTTCTGCTCTCTTCAGGCTCCTCGGGAGATCTTTTGGAGTTGGTGGGTCCGTTCGTTGTGCTGATCACATCGGCGCGGTATTGGCTCTGTCCCTCAGGCTCTGCTGCGCCTGCGCAGAGCGTCCTCACGCCTTCCAGGCTCCGCCTTCGCAGCTAGTTCACCGATAGATGTCGCATCTCCTTTTTCTTCCACTTGCCGCCTCGACTATCGCCGCCATTACGCCGCTCCGCTGTTGCCGTCACAGCCGAGCCGTCGCTGCTGAGGTTCCCACCTCACCTCCCAATGGAGGAGGGTGCTCCCTGCCTTCTAAGGCAGGTAGCATTTATTTATTTATTTACTTATTTACATGCGATTTATATACCGCCCATGACCCCTAATGGGTCTCAGAGCGGTTTTACAGGCTACTACTAATATACATATATAGTAGTGATTAAACCTACCTAGGGCCACATTTCACAAGGGGAGGGACTCCCTACCGACACCCTGTTGGCGGCGCATTCTCTCTTCTTCCGGCGGGCTATGAGTGTTGTTTTTCTGGCGTCCTCTGGTTACCCGGCGACCACCTTCCGTCAGGCTCGATGTTTCTCTATGTGCGAGCGCACTTCCGGCTGCAGCTTTCGGCTCACGTCCTTCCGGCTCCAGCCGTGCTGCGCCGTCCTGCGTCCACTCCGCCTGCATCCTGCGTCTGCTCCGCCTCCATCAGGTCTGGTCACCAGGAACTCAGCCGCCATTGTTGTTATCACCGCTGCCATCTTCGCCTCCACTTGCTGCTGCCAACACTCCTGGCACGGAACCAGGAGGTGGGTGCCCCCTGCCACCTAGGGCAGGTACCCATTTATCTACTTGTTTATTTACCTTTCGAACCGCTGGGTTATCTACTCATAAGTTGTTATGACTTTCGAACCGCTGGGTGGGTGGGAGCTGGGACTAAGGCCGGGTGTTCACCTCGGCCGTGGTGGGTATCGAACAGCTTACAAGCTGTTTATTAGATGTTAAAGCAGGATTTTGCTCCCTGCGCCACCGCTCCCTTACCTAGGTAGACATGAGCTTCTGGCATGAGACAAAGGGCTCTTGGCCTAAGGACTCTTGGCCTGGGGGCTCTGTAAGAAGCCCAGGAAGAGCCAGAAAGCCAGGGCCCTAGTCTCCTTGGGCTCCCAGTAAGGTAAGTAGACTTGTACAAGGAGAACCACATAAATACAAAGGTTTTTAAAAATGTCACATGTATGACTATCTGCCCACTGGACAGAAGTGTTGGATGTGTGCCCGGTGCAAGGAGCTCGTGGTTCTCGGGGAATAAGTTTGAACCTTTGAGGCCAAGGTGGCAGTCCTGGACAAGCAAAGACAGTCAGGAAGCGCATGAAGAAGACTGAAAATGGCAGCCCTCCCGCTGTCAGGGAGCATGAGGGTAGAGAGGAAATAGGGCACCGTGCTGAGGGTAAGGGAATGTGCCCTCAGAAGGGAGCTCTTTGATATGTTGGAATCCAAGTCTTACGAGGAAAGGCTGAAGGAGCTGGGTCTGTTTACCCTGGGAAAGAGAAGGCTTATTAGAGGGGACATGATTGCAGTCTTCAAGTATCTGAAGGGCTGTCATGTAGAAAATGGAGCAGATCTATTCTCTCTTGCGCTGGATTGCAAGACTAGATCTGATGGGTGGGAATTACAAGGGAAGTCGTTACCGGCTAAATATCAGGAGAAACTTCCTAACTGTAAAAGTGGTTGAGCAGTGGAACAGACTGCCTTGGGAGTTGGGGGATGCTCCTTCGCTGGACAACCATCTTCTGGGTATGTTGTAGGGCTATCTTTCGGCTATGCTCCTGCAGAATGCAGGAGGTTGGACTAGATGACCTGCGAGGTCCCTTCCAACTCTAACATTCTATGATTCAGCTGGTGAACAGGCATCCTTTCACACTAAGGAACCATCCCTGGGCAGGGAAGGGCTTTTGATAGGTGGTGATTCGATCCTTACCTAGGTAGACAGCTGGGTGGCGAACCCGCATACCTGGTGTGAAGGTAG